GTACATGGTGAGGGCCAAGAAATAGGCAGGGGTCAGTCACAGAGGGCAGTGTAGGCTGTATAGGTTAGTTTACTCTCTACCCTTACTAAAAGTAAAAGGAATCGTATTATAATACAAAGAGATAGGAATAATCACACAATGGTTTTTAAACCATTCACCTCAACCCCATTCTCTCAGCTCTGGTTTACCTGCTTCCCAGGTTTGTGTTCTGAGAAAGCTCTCCTTTGAGGGGAAAGTAAGAATCTAGAAAACTGTCTGAAATCAACTCTGGGCCCATACAATGCTACCGGGAAAATGATAAAATGGCACCTCTTCTTCAAGATGCTTTTCTTCTTTTTACTGAAAAATTGTCCTAATATACTAATTTCGTTAGAGCAAAACTCTTTACTGCCATCTTCCAGAAGATTGTTATAATAAATATAAAAGCCTATGATATTTGTGATGTGAATGGTGCTCCCCTTAGAAGTGACACCCATGTGCAGTCCACAACCTGCACAACCATACTTGATGGTCCTGATCTCCAGAGGCCTAAAGGAAAGGGGAAAAGTAAAGTAATATAGCATATTGTGGTAAATACAACAAGGTGTATTTTCTTCTAAGGTCTTATTGTAAGCAAAGCTAATTTTTGACCACTGACCCACACTGCTGAGGTTCAGTGCTGGTGGGGAGAAGTAAGGGGTTCCAGAGGGCAGAAAGAGGGCGCCTTCCCCATGGCTGGCTGGGGAACAAAGGCTAACAAGAGTTTACAATAAAAGTGACATGTTTCAGATCTGGACACAAAGAGGAGGACATGCAGCCACATCGCAGCCAGGTAACCACAAGCCCTCCTGACTGTGTTGTGCCAGGCAGCTCGAGAGCAGACCACGAGGGTGCGAAGCATCACAGACTGTGTAAGGAAGAGCTATGAGCCGTGCAGGAGTCCTGGTTTGATTAAAATTGGAAGATAATATGCTGCGCAACTTTGCCTGAGTGGTTTTTGCGTTATTTTAATATTCTACTTTCTGGGCTGGCTGGTTAGCTCAGTGGGTTGGAGTATGCTGCTAATAACCCCAAGGTCGAGGGTTTGACCCTGTACCGGCCAGCCTCCGATCAATCACTCAATCAATGAAACATTCCACTTCCAAACTTCAGACAATCAGGAAGTAGCAACAAAATCCTTGTATATATTATAAAGCATCCTAGAAACTGATACATGCACTGAACTCAATATCCAGTTACTCTGTTATCTTGTTTATAGTTTCAATTTATTTTTTCCCTAAATTAAAAGCACCACCCTCACAGATTTTTCCAGAAGATTCTGAGAAAAATATTAAAACAATGTGCTATGGTCTTCTCCCATCCTGGTCTTATCAAGCATCTCTACCAGGCTATCTCAAGCACTTATCCTCTGATCCTCACACCTATGTCTTCAGAAAAACATAAATCCGGCAGAGCAGCCTGGGAACCAGAGGCACACTTACTGCTCCCTGGCTAGAAGACAAGCCGGATCCTTCGTCCTCTTCCCCGTCTGGCTCCTGGTCTTCGTTGTCGGTCCAAGAGGACACGTCCTCTACCGAGCTGGTCAGATCAGGCAGACTCTTAGATGTTAACCTGAGGATGTCCTCGGCAGAGCTTTCCTATGGGGACACAATTAAAGGCCCATGAATTCTCCTCAGCACCAACCAGTTCTTGAAGTCAATCTGGCAGAGTTAAGCTATGTGATCCCAATCCAAAGTGGAATGTACATTCTGCACTTCCAAAGTTACCTCAAATGTCAGGGGTGTGGGCCCGATTTAAACCCAAGCCAGTTTTTTTCCCTGAAGACTCGTTTTCGTGTTTCTTAGGTCAATGGTTCTATAGGCAATCTAAGCTCCCTGAACTCAGGATCCTTCCATGGCCTCCCCTGTCTTGCTTTTGGGATACAGTCTAAACCCCCTCATCGGCAGGCCAGCATTTAAAGAGATTTGGCCTCTGTCCAGCTCTCCAAACTCATCTCCCTGCATTCTCCCCTCCAACCCTCACCTTTCATTCAAGTCATGCTGCTCCCTCCAAACCCTCCGGGCTCTCTCCTGCCCCCCACCTTTCCCACGGCAGCTACCTCTTTCTAGCCACCCTTCCCTGCCTGACTGAGGCCACTCTGGACAAGGCTTGAGCATCCTCTCCTCTGCAAGCCCTCCTGGGTCAGCTCAGGAGGCATTCCGTTTGTCCCCTGCCCTGTTCTCCTCTGACGTCCTGACTTGCTTTTATCCCCCTGTGGGGCATGTCTCACTTTACCTTTGTCTCCCCTGCTTGTCTGAGAGTTCCTCCAACTTAACACCATTTCTCGTTGCTGTGTCCCCAGGCCTTCCACAGAGCTCAGATATCCATCCCACCCTCCTTATCTCCCTACCACACCCTCATTAGAAAGAGATTAGACTGTTTTATGGAATCAAAATGCCAACCTGGAGACCGATAATGCCTTTTCAATGAAAGCAGCCCTTGAACAACTTTTAAAAGCCAACAAAAACACATGGAACCAAACTCCATTAAGATTAGACTCTAAAGGGTCTTCATCAACACAGTCCTTTGTTCCTTAGCATGGTTTCTACTCTGGCCTAGAGTAGGTGGTGGGATGTAGGTGAGGGCGCTAAGGCCTTGCAACAAGCCCAACAATCCCAGCTGGGAATGAAAAAGGCACAGGAGCTGTCCTCGGAAATGCCACAGCGCTTGAGGCAGGGGCCAGGGAGGGTGTCAGGGCTGCAGAGCTGATCCAAGGCCAGCAAAAAGAGAAGTGTGTTCTTTCCTCATTCTCCCACATCAGCCACCTCTACAAGGAGGGAGACACGAAGAGAGTTTTCATCATCATACTGCTAGACGGTTGACAGAAAAGAGGACACCAAAAAAAATACCCGTCTGAAACAAGGGACTTCACAAACTATTAGTGAGGTGCCACATAATGACAGTGACATTTGTTACTAGTTTGATGCTGGTTCCACCTTCAAGGTACCTGCAGATAATTCATTTTATATTAGTAATTATGATTACTATGCTGTTCATACTTATCTAAGGAAAAGAAAATGTTATTATACTAACAAGTGAGTTCATTACTCTTAATGAACTGATGTCAATTCTGCTAGACCATTAACAGACAAAAAAAAAGAAGATCCCAACCGGTGAGTAAACTGCACAGCAGCTACAGGATATAATACTCCATGGCCATTAAAAATGGTGCTGTAGAAATGTACTTCCTGGGCTGGCCGGTTAGCTCTGTTGGTTAGAGCGTGGTGCTGATAACACCAAGGTGCAGGGATTAATCGCTGTACTGGACAGCCACCAAAAAACCCCACAAAAACCAAAATGAAATGTACTTCCTGATGTGGAAGGATTCTTACAGGATGCTACTCAGTGGAAAGGCAGGTTAAAACAATATGTAATAACCATGATATTAATAACACATGCAATGATAAAGCAGATACAATAATGTGTGATAACCATAAGGGCAAACATTTCTCCACTGCTCCCTGGGACTGACTACACCGCTCAGGGCCCTTTACCTACCATTTACTCTTCCTAACATTCTCATGAGGCAGCTACTGATTCTCACTGCACGGAGGAAAAAACAGATTCAGAGAGATCTAACAAACTTGCCCAGGATGCACAGGTGGTAAATGGCTGTGCTGGCACTTAAACCCAGGTGGGACTGTGTCCAGGCTGTGCTCTGTCTCCTGGTGTTTGATTCCACTTAAAAGAAAATATTTGTGTGCACGTGGCATGCACATACACGTTTCTGGCTGAAACACCAATTAATGAATAGTGCTATGGGTGGTATTAGGAAAATTTCATCTTTTTTCTTTTCTGTTTTTTGGGGAGGGTTTCTATATCAGATATAATAAATATGTATTACTCATGTTAAATAAAAATTATATGCAGCCATTGTTTTGGACTAAGTTTCTGGACTAGGCCCCAAAAGACCATGTTAAATTTCAAAATGGAGTCACCCCTGCTAAGTTCCACATCATCAAACATAAACTAAGTTGTGGTGTGACCTTCTGAGAAATGGCGAGAGAAAGATAACAGCCAATTTCTCAAACAGGCCAGTTTAAATCATCAATAGGCATGATAATGAAGTTCCCTCTGCTTTTTTTTTTCTTTTTAATTGAATCATAGCTGATTGTACATATCTGTGGGGTACACAGTTGAATATCAATACCAGTGTGTA